TTTTTCACTCATCTAGAAATAGAATCCCACAGCCGGCCCTCATTTATGTCTGACTTATTTCACTCAATGCTGTGTTTGTAAGATTCTTCCATATTGTTGTATGAAACAGTGGTTTATTCTTTCTTATTTCTGTATGGTAGCTCGTTGTATGAATGTATGACAATTTATTTATCCATTTTCTTGTTGATGGACATTTGAGTTGTTTCCAGTTGGAGTTATTTGAAATAGAGCTGCCGTGAACATTTATGTCTTCTGGTAAGCATGTTTTCCTAGGAGTTGGAATTGATGGGTCATAGGCCAAGAACACGTGCAATCTTTTCTAGATACTGCCAAGAGTTTTCTGAAATGGTTGTACCAATTTCTGAAATGGTTGTACCAAGTTCCCATTGCTTCACATTGTCCCTCCTTGACATTGTCAGTCTTTTTTCATCCGAGTCATGCTCATTGCTGTATTATGATATTAAATTGTGACATTAATTTACACAGTTTTTTTTTTTTTTGACTGGGAGAGTTGAACATCTAAGTGTTGGCATTTTGACATTCTTATTTGTGAAGTGCTTGTTCATGTCATTCATTTTCTTTTCCTACCAGACTATTTGCCTTTTTCTTATTAACTTCAGGAGTTTAAAAATATATATATTCTATAAGTGTTCTTTTTCAGGCACAGGTATTACAAATATTTTCTTCCACTCTATGGCTTGTATTTTTATAGTATTAATAGTATTTTGATGAACACAAATTTTAATTTTAATGTATTCAATGTATCAGCCTTTTTTTGCCTTATACATAGTGTATTTTTGCATCCTGCTGAATAAATATGAGCTCACTCCAAAATCATGAGATAATCTGTCTTATATTTTAGAAGCCCTTTTGTTTTGCCTTCCACTAGGAGAATATGATACTTCCCCAGAACTTTTTTTCCTATGACTCCTCTACCTGAACACACAGAATGAATCATACCCTTTTCTGAATCCCCATAATTCTATGCCTTATTTTATGATTGCTATTAGGTTATGTCTTATCTTGAATCATAGATACTTGCCCGTCTATCCTTTCTATCTCATCCCCATACTCCATTCACCCAATCATCTAAATTCTTTAGTCTTTTCACTAAATCCTCATCATAATGCCTCCTAAGAGGCCGGGCATGGTGGCTCATGCCTGTAATCCCAACACTTTGGGAGACCTAGGCGGGTGGATCATGAGGTCAGGAGTTCGAGGCCAGCCTGACCAACATGGTGAAACCCCGTCTCCACTAAAAATAAAAAAAAAAAATTAACCGGGCGTGGTGGCTCGTGCCTGTAATCCCAGCTACTCAGGAGGCTGAGGCAGGAGAATTGCTTGAACACGGGGGGCACTGAACTGAGGTCATGCCACCGCACTCCAGTCTGGGCAACAGAGCAAGACTCTGTCTAAAAATAATAGTAATAATAATGCCTCCTAAGTAACTCTGGGATTGCTCCTGTCACCAACCTCTAATCCACCACCTCTAATTAACTGCACACATAAGAGTCAGAATGGTCTTCTAAAATATCAATCTCTTCATGCTACTTCTGTTTAAAAATGATGCATGGTATCTATTGCTCTCAAATTAACTTTCAACTCAGTAATGTGCTGCAGGAGCCTTCTAGGACTTGAAGGATTATCTTGTCTTTCTCACCATTGATGTCTCTGGTTTAATATTATAAGAGTTTCTTATTTCTTTGAATATCCCTTCATAAAGATCCTCTGTATGTCTCTCAATCCATGCCTTTGTCCTCCTATTTATCCTTTAGGTCTTATCCTATATATCTTTTTGGCAGAAAACTTTCCTGACTCCCTAATACATTAAGTCTCCATAATGTCTAATGTCATATAAACCTTATACTTTTTCTCCATTAAAATTTCTTACACCTACTATTGTTTGTTTGAAGTTCATCTTCTCTAATAGAATTTATGTTTCCTTGGGGCAGAAACAATGTCTGTCTTGTTCACCACTTTATTTTCTTTGTCTGTCTCATTACCAACATTACTTCTTTAAAAATACATTTGTTGAATTGAACTGATTTATGAGGATATGCCTGGGGTCTAGTGTATTGGTTTTGGCATGTAGTTAGTCTCAATAAAGGTTTTGTAATTCATCGTTTTCATAAAATCCTAGAATCGGTGTTGAGAAGAACTTAAACCTAACTGACACTTAAATAATCTCTATTATAACATTTGTACCAAATACAACCTACTTATAATCATCTGGTAACAGGGAGACACTGCATCCTTCAGCAGATCATTCCAGGTTTGGTCATAAATGTGTACTAGAAAGATCCATTTTATGCTGAGTTAAAAACTGGGATCCTTGTAATTTCCCCCTTCCTACTAGATTGGGATTGGTCCATTTTATTAATATTACTGGGGTTGATTCTCTTTTCTGTAAGACAGCCTTTTACGTATCTGAAGCAGGTCATTTTGTTTCAATTTAACCTTCTATTACTATTTATCATAGTAAATCACTTTCTCAAGAAAAACTGCAGTCTCTCAACATCCCTCTTGGGGCATGCATGATGCCCAAACACAGATCCAATTCTTCAGGTGTACTCTAACCCATCTAGGGTAGGACAGTGGGCCTGCCACCACTCTTTCCATTCGCAGCATACTTCTAATAATGTTCTCATGGCAGATCTAGATTTTGGAGAACATTTAAGTCTTATACAATAGTTGTTGGTTTTAAAAATATGAATTCAAAATTAGATATAAAGCCAAGTATGTATTTAGAAGGAGAAAAGGTGGGCACTTGGAAGGTGTGGAATCCTTGAACCTTAAGCTGCATTGGCTTCAGGTAAGTCAACCTCTAAATGTCCCTAAGATCTCAATAATTTCCTTGGTAGGAATATCTCATTAATTCCTTCTATTTTTGTTCCAATTATAACTCACAGATCTTTCCACCCTCAGTATGCACAGCAGGGTGATCAAACACAGACTAGAGCTCCATTGCCTGGATTCAAATCCTGGCTCACACTTCACAAGGTCTCTATAGGTATCCCATGAACTAACACATAGAAAATCCTGGCACACACAAGGAAAATCTGTCTTTCTTATCTACCTTCTTAACAGGCATTAGCAAATCTTTCTATCTACTCTTTTTTTCTACTAAACATGGTAGGGTTATGCTCCATGTATTTAAGATTCTAGTGTGTTGTGTTTTGTTATTTAATAGTAAATCACTTTCTTGGCCTGAATTTTCCTGAGGAATTTTCATTCACTGGTCTCAAGTGACTCTACCAAGCCCTCCATGCAGGTTAGAAAACAGAAGATGTAGCTGCGTGTGGAGGTTCATACCTGTAATCCCAGCACTTTAGGATAACTGCTGAGGCAGACTGATTACTTGAGGTCAGGAATTCAAGACCAGCCTGGCCAACAAGATGAAATCCCATCTCTACTAAAAATAGAAATATTAGCCAGGCGTGGTGGTGTGCACCTGTAATCCTAGCTACTTAGGAAGATGAGGGAGAAGAATCACTTGAACCTGGGAGGTGGAGGTTGCAGTGAGCCGAGATTGCGCCACTGCACTCCAGACTGGGCAATACAGTGAGACTCTGTTTCAAAATAAATAAATAAGAAAGAAAGAAAAAAAAAAAAGAAAACAGATGATGTTTTCTAAACATCTTATGTAACAGGAGCATGAATCAAAGAGTTGCCAAGGAACCAGAATATAAAAATCATATTAGGCTCTGCTTAGCTTTACCTGCCAATCTCAACTCAACTTTTTCCCACTGACATTCAGAATCACCTTTATCATGCACCTTTATAGAAGGTCACATTTTTAGCCTGCTCAAAGTTAAAGCATGCCTTTTTTTTTAAATATAAAGTTGATATATGATCATTGCAGAGAAGTTAGAAAAGAAACTAGATGCCTAAAATATACCATCTGTAACCTAGCGATCCAGAGGTAAGCTCTTCTAATACCTGGGCTTATTTCCTTGTTACATTATTTTTATTTATCTCTTTAAATTATTAAGATCATGCCATCCATTCAATCAGAAACCTTTCATTTAATAACTAACATTATATCAAATTATTTTCACATATTATTGGAAATTCTTTATAAGCATCAGTACCAGCCTAATATTATGTTGTATTAACACAATATAATTCACTTAGTCTTCTCATGTAAAAATTAAAATCCTTACTTTTTTGATATAATACATTATGCTTTTTAAAAACAGTGCTCTGTGTACTTAAAGCCTTGTCCAACCTTTCCCTGTAATGTCCTCTCCTCTTTATTATGTGAATTAATAAGGATAAAATTACTATTTTAAAGGATATATTTTCTTTAAAATAATAAATATATACGAATTACCTAACATAACCTTGACATATACAGACACCAAAGAAATACAGATATTTATAAACATCAACAAACTAATCCCTATACTGGTTGCATTTTCACTAGTCATGTCTGAAAGTATCTTTCTCTCTATAGTCCAGCCAGCATTGAGAATGATTATTAGTAATCTCTGCAAAAGCACGTGTGTGTATGTATATATTTAAGACTATGAATGATTAGCAAACAAAGGGAAAAAATTACAGAGCATCAAAAATTTCCATAAATGTTCTATTTGTGAGGATTAAAATAATACTCATTGAAAATCAAAAACAATAATGCAGAAAATTCATACAATGTGATATGAAACTTTAATAATACATTAGGTCTGAGGCATCTATAAATAATACCATTTAGACATTTTCATGAAAATGATCAGATACATACAGTTCACATTTCCTTACTTTCTATCTGAAAACTAATTAATAATCATAACTTTAATGTCCCGCATATGTTAAAATTCTAAATGTTATGTATATACCATATCATAGTGGTCTAATTTCCATGTTTGCAGTTTTCATTAGGTTTTCTATGCTTCATCTTTATTCCCCCTTCATACCATCCCTCCTGATCCCCGCCCCACCATATCACATCCATGTTGCTTCTCCCAACACTGACCCCACTTTTTCCACTGGCTTCCTACCTTGAAGATGCAGTTTGCTCTCCGTGCTTTGCAGAAGGACGGAACTCACAGAGTCCAGATTGTCATAGCTGTTACAGCCCAGAGGCCCAGTGCGTGTCTCTGTGACCTGCAGCAGATATCAAATGAGACAGGTGTGAGACAGGAGTCCTTGTCTAGGACATACCCCAAAGAGTCATACCCAAGCAGAGTAAAGCCAGCAGAAAAGGCCTCCTGGTTTGAATCAATGGTTTGAGTCCTGAGCTCTGTGCCTGTGTCTGGGACCAAGCACAGCTGTGACTGAGTAGACAGGCTAGCAGGGTGGTCAAGCACACAGACTGCATGGCTATTTCTACCAGTGGTTCTCAATTCACATGGTGACTAGAACCCTGTGACCTAGGGAAGCCAATTAACTTCTCTGGGCAACTGCAAACCAAAGGTAGTAAATCTCTTCCAGAAAGGTTGTGAGACCAGGTACAATGAGTCTAAATGCCTGGCACATGGCACGTGTTCAATACTGGGTACCTTATTACCAAACGGCTCTATAAATTGTTATGAGTATATATACACTATTATCAGGCAAGAACAAGAAAACGATACCCATTTTCCTAAAGAAGTTTTAACAAGAAGCATAATTGTGCTGCTGCTGGAGAAATTGACCCAATCCCGTGGCTGTGCATTTCCAGAATATTGTCTTAGAAAGACTTAAGGTAATGGATATGAGAGGAGTAGCTATTCAAAAAGATAACCTTGAAATAAGAATGGCTTAGTATGAAAAGAGGACTCTTCATTTATTTAGCCTTTGCTTCCCTTTCTTTAGGTTTATTTTGAAGTTTTCATCCAACTCTAGAAACACAGCATCCGCTGTAGGGAATAATGACTGGGGAGGCAGTCACAAGCACCTTCTCTACCCTTTTCTAGCTGTGAAACCTTGAATCAGTAACTTTCTCTTTCTAAGCCTCAACTTCCCCATCTATAAAATGTCAGTAATGCTCTTAATACCAAAATAGGATCAAGAGATTATATTTTTGAAGTATTTAGTGGGTAGGGTACAGTAATATTTAGTAAATGGCAAATAATTAGGTTTGGTTTTGTTTTATAAATAATTTATTTTTATATACAAAATAATAATGTATTTATTATTGAGTGAGAGTTAAACTTACCCATTCATTTTCCTAAAGTTACCTATGGTAGGGAGAAGGGCGAATGGGCAAAACTTCTCCACCTGGGTTAGTGGCTGGTCTTAATCAGGCCCACTAGTGAGACAAGTTTTAGACAACTTGGTCTTGAGGTAGTGGCAATAAATGGCATGAAAAATCCAAGGGCCAAATTAAGTGCAAAAGACAGTGCCTACTGTAAGAAATGGTTTCTTGAGTGGCCACTGTGCAATTTCTCTGAGAAATTCCTCCTACATAGGCAGACTGCACTTCCAGGATACACAAAAGAGGATTATTTTCTGACAGAGCTTCAATATCTCAATTCCGCATCCTATCCAGGGTGGAGAGAACCATTTGGTGATAATGAAAACCAGGCCTTTGTGGCACTCTGACTCCAATGGCTTCATAAAGATCCATCTCTCTCCGCTGAGTTCCCTAACAACATAATCCCCCAAATATAGGCAATTCTTCTCGGATAAACCGGCCCTTTGTTCATCAGTCTGATTTATTTCTCTCCTTACTACCTCCCTCCTCAGTAAGTCTCCACTCCTACACTTTTCTCTCTCCTTAGTCAATTTCTGACTCATCTATCAGCCTTGGCAGGGTAAGACCCCTTGGCTTTATCCTCACCCTTTTCCCCTACAGATATCTTGGAAAGGCTTAATATAAAGCTAGGTCTGCATTTTATTTTGAAGAAATTAAAGACTGAGATGTAAAATGCAGGCATAATCTGGTAAAAGAACATTTGAGATGGAAACATCTGCACTAAAACCCTCAGAAGAACAAACCCTTTATGTGGAGAACGTCCTCCCACATTCTCTTTATGGAGGCTGTCTCTGAATCTGTGCGTTTAAAATGAAATCTTGTTAAATTTCCTGTGCTCTAAGGTGCTCAATTGAAAGTCCAGGGCTGCTTTTCTCAATGTGATCATTTAATTTTTAATTAGCTAGAACTGAATAAACTTAAACAATGAGCTCCTCGGTAGCCACATTTTAGGTGTTCAATAACCCCATGTGACTAGGGGCTACTCTCTCGGCTAGTACAGATACAGGGCCTTTCCATCACCTTAGAAGGTTCTACTGGACAGCACTGGTATAGAAAGGCATAGATCAGCAAACAACTGAGTGCCTGTTTTGATAAAGTCATATTGGAACACCCATGCCCATTTGTTTATATATCATCTATGGCTGCTTGTACACTACAACAGCAGAGTTGAGTAATAGCAACACAGGCCATGCAGTCCACCAACCCCCAAATAATTATTGTTTGGTCCTCTACAGAAAACTTTTGCTGACCCGTGGTCTAGAGAGCAGAGTTCTAGTCCCTGTTAAGTTATTCTCTAACTGTGTAACCCTCAGAAAAAGGCTTTAAACTTTTAACCTCAGTTTTTCCATCTGTAAAATCGTGAGTGGAGAGGAAAGAATAAAAAACATAGATGTTTAAAATATTGCTGAGCTAGGCATCAGTAGTCTCATTGTTGCTAGCTCTGAGACCTCAGGAAAATCATTCACCTCTTCGGAGTCTGTGTTTCTTCTTCTAGAAAGATTTGATAATCTCCATACAGGAAACTGATGAGAAAACTGTTGATAATTCTGCCATGACTATAGCCAGGATACTCTAGTAAATCAGTTCATATGGCTACTGGAATGACAATGCACACTGATATTACAGGGCATGTGAGAATATCAGTCAGAGCAGCTGGCAGAGGGCACCATGAGCTACATGGTTATGAACCTAGAAATTGTATCTGCCCATCCACTCTCAGAATGCCTGTATTGCAGTGCTGTTGTATTGAGAACCTGCCACCCAAATCCACCCTTAAGCTGTACCTTGATTGCTCCAGTTGATATCTGGATCTCATGGAGCCTCCTCATGGTGCCATCACGGTCAACAAAGTAGGATGATGCGAGCTGGTGCAGAGCTTCAACGCTTTGAGTGGCATTCCCTGACTTCCTGTCGAGGCGACTTTTGTCCATGTACATGGTCAAAGCCTCCTCTCCTGGATGGGAAAGAAAAGTAGGTAAAAAGTTTGTCGAGCTTTCATGTGGGAGGACAGGCATGGGGACCTGGATGTTGAAAACAGCCTTAAATCTCCAACCAGTTTGGCCCACATTTCCTTCTGCCTCTAAAAATCAAGATCACGATGAAAATAAACTGTCTAGAGGTGGCTGTAAACACCGGGCTCCATTAGGTCAAGGATCATTAAAAATACCCCAGCAACAAAGTCCAACCCCTAATAATTGACTTCATGCTTCTCGCCAGCATCATCTTACAACCAAAGCCTCTTCCCCTCTTCCAAGAAAGTTCAGCCTCTTCTATAATGGCAAATGTGGCACAGATACGCTCTTATTATTTTTTCCTCCTCCTCTGGCTCCTCATTGCCATTCAGTTCCTCCTTTCCTTCTGCTCTCCCATCTCCCCTTTTTTCACTTCTTTCTCCTTTCCTTTTCTCTTTACCCTTCCTCTCCCCTGATCTTTTCTTAACAGATAAATGAATGGATGGATAAACAGATATTTGGATGGATGCAAATGGATGAATGACAGACATGTTAAAATAAATGTAGATGTAAATTGTTAAAAATTATACATTTTCTTCTATGAATTTTTTCTTAGATATGCACACGTAGATTAAAACACTGTTAAACTAGATGACTTATAATTTGGATAAAAAACTGTTTATCCAGAACTCCAGAATGAAAGCTCCAGGAAGCTACCTCTACGCTCTATCAACTTCATGAACAAGGGCATGTTTCTCTTTTTTTTATTCATTCTAAGATGCTTTATTTGGTAAATAGTTGAAAACCTAAAACCACATTATCACAAAATAGTGCAAATTTTTTTTTAAGTTCCGGGGTACATGTGCAGAATGTGCAGTTTTCTTACATAGGTAAACAAACGTGTGCCACGGTGGTTTACTGCACCTATCAACTCATCACCTAAGTATTAAGCCCAGCATGCATTAGCTATTTTTCCTAATGCTCTCCCTCCCTCACCCCTCCCCCTGATAGTCCCAGTGTGTTTTTGCCCTCCCTGTGTTCTCATCATTCAGCTCTAAGTGAGAACATGTGGTGTTTGGTTCTCTGTTCCTGTCTTAGTTTGCTGAGGATAATGGCTTCCAGCTCCATATATGTCCCTGCAAAGGATATGATCTCATTTCTTTTTATGGCTGCGTAGTATTCCATAGTGTATATGCACCATATTTTCTTTATCCAGTCTATGATTGTTAGGCATTTGAGTTGATTCCATGTCTTTGTTATAGTGAATAGTGCGGCAATGAACATATGCATGCATGGATCTTTGTAAAAGAAGGATTTGTATTCCTTTTGGTATACACCCAGTAATGGGATTGCTGGTACAAATGGTATTTCTGGTTCTAGATCTTTGAGGAATCACCACACTTTCTTCCACAATGGTTGAACTAATTTACATTCCCACCAACAGTATAAAAGTGTTTGTTCAATTGATTGATCCTTTTTTTTTCTCAACTGATTTCTCCTTTTTATCTTTTTCAACGTAGTTGCCAGAAGATTTAAAAGGGGCCTATGTGGCTCACACTTGGGGCCATATCATATATCTATTGGTGAATGCTGGTCTAGGGATAGAAAGTCATAGGACGTTATTTCAATATACCAGGTGAATAGCCAAGGCAGAGGAGTATACAGAATGCAACACAGACCAGGGAAAGGGTAGGCAGCTGCATCCTGTAGATAATGTGGGCCACAAGGCCTGGTCCATACGGCAGGATACAGCATCAGTTTTAAGCCAAATCTATTCAGGTTGCTGTACAGATTGCCCCACCCCCATCCCAGCAACCTGAATAGATTTGGCTTAAAATTGATGCTGTATCCAATTAGACTTTGAGTTCCAGGAGCCATGGGAAGTGCAGCAGAGGAACAAGGACTCCATCCAATTTATCTTTCTAATGTTCCAATGCTTATCTTAGGGTATCATGAAGAATAGATGTTCAGTTATCAGATATAATATGGGCTCTTTAGCTATATCTTTTGCTGCTCTCTGGGTTTGCTCTACCCTGTACAAATGTGCACCATTTTCCCTCATTGTTAGGGCTTCTATTTTTCTGTTTTGCTGCTGGCTAACTTATATATATCCCTCAGGTATCACGTAAGACATCACTTCTTCTGAGATGTCTTCCCTCAGTACTACACTCCTTACCTGAACTAGATTAATAACTCTCAGGTTTCACAGGCCAAGGCTTGAGAGGAGTTCATAGTAAAGTGCTCATGTTTGCAGTTTCCCCAGAAACTTTACTATTTATTATGTAGTACAATGTGATTGTCTATTCTCTGGCCCCCACAGCAACCTGGATAGATTTAGTTTAAAAATGATGCTACAACCAATTAGACTTTGGGTTCTGGGGCCATGGGAAGTGGGGCAGGGGAACAAGGCCTCCATCCAATTCATCTTTCTAATGTTCCAAAGCTTATCCTAGGGTCTGATGAAGAGTAGATGTTCAGTTATAAGTTGAGGGATGAATGGATGGGTGTATAGATAAACAGACAGCTAGGTGGAAAGGTAAAAGTTAAATAAGTGAATATGCTAAGAGTTTGAGCCATGAAGCAGAGGCAATAAGTGTTCCAAGTATCAGCTCAGGCTCTCTTAGGTGCCTGTGAAAAAGAAGGTGAAGCAAGCCCAGTTCCCTCTGGAGTGAGAACTGGCAGGAGCAAACCTTAGATCAAGAGGGGTTAATGGGCTTCATGCTGCATTATTAAGGCTTAATTTCTTGTTTATTAAGAGAATGTTCTGTTTAGAGTTGCTTTCCCCCTTGGGCATTCCTGCAAATTGCCTCTTCACCCTGCATAGGCCTTTCCTGAGTATTTCCATTCTCCAGGAGACTTGGCCTCACTCTCTGCAGCACCTTGTCTCAGAGGTGAAGAAAATGGGACTCTCAAAGGGAATGAGGAAAAGTAGGAGTGGATCTTGTTATCTTTTGAGTCAATAGGATATTTTGTCACCAGATAGAGGATGAGGTGTCTGGATTTTAGACCTCTGGGACATAACTCTCCCTTTCCTTCAGAGCCCCTGTGATTTTATTCTCAGCCTTCCTCTTAGACAAGGGGACCTCTCCCAAAATGCAGGGAGGAAAATAATGAATACACATGTAAACAGAAAAGATGAGCCTATAAAAAGACATCCATGCAACACACACATTCACATGCATGTGCCATCTCACATTCACACACACGTATATCCATGTTGCAACCATATTTATGTGAGCAATGTGTACATATGTGTGCAATGTGCAGGAATACATGCTCATGTATAAATTAACTCACATCTAAGCAGGAATAGGCTTGGTGCACATCATCTGTACATGTAGGCATTTGTGCATATCGGTTTACACAGATGTGCTTCCACACATGCATAGTCATACATGCAAGTTTAATCACACATGTCACACAGGCACCCAGTCTCCAAGGTGGTTCCATCAGCCCAAGACATGGTCATCAGGAGGACTAAGAAAAATTTCTACCCCTGTTTTCTTGTGTGTCCTTCCAGATGCACAGTTTTTCCCTTTACCACACTTCATAAGAGTATTCACATGTTGTGCTTTATGAGTTTAATAGATTTCACAAAAAATCTGAAGATCTCATGGAAATCTCCTATTTGTTGGCCCACCTATCAGCTCTACTTCTCCATTCTCATAGCCTTTTCTTCCTCTCCCCTCTCCCTAAAGAGCCAAACACACACATGTATTTGTCTCATAGGTGACAGGTTAAGAAGCATCTTTTAGTATTTGATTATGCACTTGTGAACTTACCTGACATGTCAAAGAGTTAATAAAGCTCAATGAATACTGTGGTCTTAGAAAAAAATTATAGTAAATAAAATTGTTTGCACCTTCTTGTTTATAGATAAAGAAATTGATACTCAGACAGAAAAGTGAATTTCTCAATATCTCCCACTCATCTAGTAAGTAGCAGAATTGGGCCTTAATCTGGATTTGCAAGTTTCTTAGCTCCATTAAGTAATTACAATAATAGTAAGAACAAGAATAGTAATGTAACAACAATTTGTTAAGTGTCAGACCGTGTGCTAAGCACTTTCAATCAATCATTTTATTTAATTTTTTCAATATGTATGAAGGACTATTACTGTAACTACTTACAAAAGAGGAAACTGAGACTTCAAGGATTGAATTACTTGCCAAGGTGACTGTGATGGTTAATAATGTCAACTTGATTGGATTGAAGGATGCAAAGTATTGTTCCTGGGTGTGTCTGTGAGGGTGTTGCCAAAGGAGATTAACATTTGAGTTAGTGGGCTGGCAAAGGCAGGCTCACCCTCAATTTGGGTGGGCACCATCTAATCAGCTGCCAGTGTGGCTAGAGTAAAAGCAGACAGAATGTGAAAAGACTAGACTGGCTTAGCCTGCCAGCCTACATCTTTTCGCCATGCTAGATGCTTCCTGTCCTTGAGTTCTTCAGCTTTGGGATTTGGACTGGCTTCCTTGCTCCTCAGCTTGCAGATGGCTTATTGTGGGACCTTGTGATCATGTGAGTCAATACTCCTTAATAAAATCCCTTTCATACGTACATCTACCCTATTTAGTTCTGTCCCTCTGGATAACCCTGACTAATACAGTGACCCTAAGCTGGTGAACAGCAGGAGCCAGGACTCAAGCCAGGGGATCAAACTCCAGAGCCTGCCCTTTCATTCCCTGCAATCTCCCTCCTCCCTTCTCTCACATTGCAGAGGAGGCTCTTAAAAAATATGTTTTCCATAAGTGAATGAATGAAGTGATGACGTAAGAAAAGCTTCACATCATTTCTGGCACACGGTATTCCATCAACAGTAAATCTCTTCATTTTCCCTCTCTCTACTCCTCCACACTGAGGGCTGAGGGAACATTTAGGGCCTGCTGTCCAACACTAGATCTCAATCCAAAGCTTTGCATATTTTAAAATGTTGTGTTGTAAAAACAGAAGAGGAACAAGGCTCTGTGAATAATTCACCACCTCGCCTTAGAGAAATTAAAAATATATTTCATTGAGGAAGAAATATCTTAGTTACTTGGGGTTTCCAGGAACTCAGACGAGAGCACAGCTTTTAATGGAAGAATTGAATTGGTCTCAATCCTTTTTTTTTCTCCCCCAAGTGAAATGGGAGGCGAGACATGTCCAAAGAAAAGGTCTCAGGTAATGCTATACTTAATGTAGAAATGAATTCATTTTCACTTTACAATAAAATAAAATTTACACTAATGATTTAATATTCAAAGTCCTACTTAACAATATCTAACTGGCAACAGACAACTAAGACATGCTGGTTGGCTGGCTGTTGGAGTGGGTATTGGGTTGGGGGGCAAGTGAGTTGCTTAAAGAGATGACTGACATTGGATCAAAAACAGAATGTGGGCTTTGTGAATGGAAAACATTCAGTTAATAGCTTAGCTTTATCACTTTCTAGCAAAACTTCTCCTGGGTCTCAGCTTCTTTATTTATAAAATGGAGGTAATATGGCTTCACGTGCAGCTTTGAGGGCTAAAGACAATGTACAATGTCTGCTATATGGCAAATAACTGGGGGTGTCTTGTCAGTGAGGGTGTGGCCTAAGGAGATTAACATTTGAGTCAGTGGACTGGGAAAGGCAGGCCCACCCTTCATCTGGGTGGGCACCAACTAATCAGCTGCCAGCATGGCTAGAATAAAAGCAGACAGAACGTGAAAAGACTGGACCAGCTTAGCCTCCCAGTCTACATCTTTTCCCAGTGCTGGATGCTTCCTGTCCTTGCACACTGGGCTCCAAGTTCTTTAGCTATGGAACTCAGACTGGCTTAGTGGATAATATCATTCTAAGAATGAATAAATTTACCTAACCAATCTCCCCACCACATTCCCCACATTATCACATTATGAATTGGGTCTTCCTCAAATTGCGCACAGTATGCTGAGCCTAGAAAGCTCTGCCACCTCCCTTTACTTAATCAGCTCTAGTGAGCAAAACCGTCACTTCCTTCAGGGAGTCTACTGACCAGTCCAGTTGGTAGTGCTCAACACTTCTCTGAAGGAGAAGATCCCCTGTTATAATTATACCTCAGTCTACCGTGCCTGTATAAATATGCCAATCTCTCTTAGCGGGGCATGGGCCATACCTAAATGCAGCCGGCAGCTTTGTGAGTAAGTTGCACAGTGATCTATCACTAAAGGGGCTTTCTCAAAGTTCAGTGAACCTAGTCACTATGGCAAAATTGGTGTCTACGGGATTGTTCATAATATGAAATGATCCTTTCAGACAAGACCCACACGCATCTGAAGGCACTAGTCTGTACCATTTTCCATTCGTTGTCTTTGCATTTATTTCCTCTCTCTTACCCTTGCTAACTCAAACACTGACTGGCCCTGATGGGGAGGGATGGGTAAGACTGAGCAGGGTGGAACAATTAGTCTGCTTTCCTATAAAACCTTCTCTAAGCCCAAAGGAGATACAAATGATAGCCTGTTTGTAAAATGATAACCTTGAGTTATCGGTCTCTGAAGTAGACTTAAATAAACAAAGCAGATTCCCTAAACAATACCTGAAATTTAATTATTTTCCCAGATTAGACCAAAGGAACTGAGACAATGATCAGATTAGGCATTTCTAACAAATGGAGCCAATTCCAAGAGTAAGCCATATTTTCAGAAAATTTAGTAAACTCTCAAATTAGATTGTCCCATAGAACTGAATCAGCTCCTCCTAGGATATGATCACAATAGCCAAGGCTATTTGGTTTATCTGGGTGTATATGCTTTTGTTTGATGGCTAATGGCAGAAAGGCTAAGAAGGCTTTGCTGTCAAGGCATCCCACTCTACCTTCCATCCCAGACCCAAAGTCATGACAAGGCTCTGGCCCAGTGGCTGCTGACCTACCTCCCAATGTGGCTGAGATGAGCAGGTGGGTGCCGTATTTTTTGATGATGGTATCGATGAACTGCTGAGTGGTGGGTCTCCTGCCAAGCAGGCGGATGCTCCTTTGAAACTCCGGCATGAGGGGCACTGGATGGCGGACCAGATCTCTCCTCTCGATGGCTGTGTTCCTCACCTTCCAACGGGCAAACTCCCTGGGCAGGAGAAATGAGCAATACTCCTCAACTTACCATCACTGCGCTCAAGCCCAAGTCCACCCAACCATCCATCCAGGCATCTCTCCTTAAGTGGGAAAGTACCTACAATTTTAATATGTATTCAGTGATGCCTTGATCTGGAGTTTCCAATCATCTTCAACCAACAAATATTTATTGAGTACTACTCTCAACACAGGAATATTGAACCAGATAGACAACATCCTTGCCCTCAAGTTGCTTACAGAGCACCAGGGAGACAAATATCAGGAGTTACATTTATTAGCAGATAGGTAGAGAAATGAGGAAAAAGAAAAGATAATAAAAATAATAATCTGATGATATGGATAGTGAAGATATACTGATAAAAATTTTCATGTTATTTTATAGTCCCCAGGAAAACCATGTCTAAACTCTCATATAAATCACGCTAGCCCTGTTCCAGGGGATTATTATCCATTTCTGATAGGTATCACAAGACCGAGTCCTCCATTGTCCTCTAGTTGCTTGTCCATCTCTCTCACTAGACTGTAAATGACACCACGAGAATAGAATCTTCTTTGGTACTACCTAACCCAGCCCTGTAAATAGCTCAGTGCCTGTTACATGCCAGGATTCACAATAATGCCAGATGGAGAAATGAATAAGCAAATGGAAATCAGGAGAGAGGGAGGGAGGGAGGGAGGGAGGGAGGGAGGGAGGGAAGGAAAAGGGAAGGAAAAAATGAAGAAAGAAGGAAGGAGGGAAGGAGGGGAAGGAGGAAGGAAGGAAGGAAGGAGGGAAGGAAGGAAGGAAGGAAGGAAGGAAGGAAGGAAGCAAACATACATACATACATACATGGAAGGATATATAACAGTAGACAGGACCTAAGGCACAAAGCAACCTGAGGCCTGTTCTAAGATAATCCAAAAATCAAATACTGAGCCCAGAGCTCACTTTAATCCAAAATGTTAACATGTAATCATTGAGCACCTAGTACTTGAAAGCACTTAAGCTATATTCCAAAGACCATGTGGGAGAATTTCCATTTTTGCCTTCTCTAATAACAAAGTATCTCAAGACCAAACAGCACCAAATTTGGAAGTCCAAGTCTCACTCTGCCTCTTACAAATTATGTGTTGTGATCTTGTCCCCTCTCTAGACCTACAATTCTTCATCTATAAAATTCAATTAATGGCATCTATTTGCTACTGCTGATGCAGGAATCACGTGAAACATAGAGTACAAAGTACCTTTGGAAACTGCAAGGTGATAATTTAATGGGAAACATTGTTTTATAACGTTATTTTCTCACAAGTTCCCAGACATGTACACGTAAATCACTAAAAGTTCACATACAGTGAACTTGGAGCATGAAAACTGAGTATAGGTGAAAACTTAAAGGGACTCAGTTAAGGTTGCTTTTGCTCAGTAACACTCACAGTTTCTACCAAAGTTTGAGCTCCCCCAGAATGACCAGCTCTCCGACCTGCCTGAGTTACATGCTTTCAGCCCTTGAGGAAAACAGACTAGACAAGAGGGCTGTAAGGTCAGTGGAGATAAACGATGGGAACCAGAGTTTAATGAAAAGGTCTCTCTCTCCTGCCACAAGATGGAAGAGATGAATGAGGAAAGGGACACAGGGCAAGAAGAAACAGAACGGCAGAGGGATGTCCGGCCAGAATGTGCCCTGGTAATTTAGCGGTGGTGTCTGACCCCTGATTCACAGAAAACTGAGTCCAAAAAAAGCTTTCACATTAGAATATGTTTCCAGGATTCAGAGCTCATGGTCTGTGTCTGTTGAATAAATCTCTGTCCATAATTCACGACATAGTTCAAATTTGAAGTCGACTGAGCACCTTGTATGTTGTTGTAGGTACCTAAGTCAATCAAGTGCACTCAATGAACCCTGCAAGACACCTATTAAGGGCAACATATGATGTCCACAGAAGGGGGATGCACATGTCACAGTCCCTGTCCTTAAGAAGCTCACAGTCTGGAAGACTTTTCAGTTTGTTATAAATCAAGGACTACAGGATGCAAGAGGAGGAACTTGAACTTCTCGAGCCTCTAGGGAATGCTTCAGAGAGGAGGTCAGGTTTGAACTACAGTTTTTAAGTGTGCAGACAATTTAGGTCAATGAAGTGTGGTTAAAAAAAAAAAATGGCCAGAATGATAGTGCACACCTGCAGTCCCAGACGCTCAGGTGGCCAAGGCAGGAGGATCACTTGAACTCAGGAGTTTGAAACCAGCCTGAGCAACATAGCAAGACTTTGTCTCTAAAAGTAAAAGAGGCACAAACACAACAACAACAAAAACCTAACCACAGGGAGGAAAAGTCAGGAGCAGTGATACAGAGTCAGTGAGGTGATACAGTGAGTGAGCAGGGATACAGAACATGTTATGGGAATGGACAGAGTTAAATAGGAGGAGTATAAAAAAGAGGGTGTCAGAGGCAACAAGATGGGACAAGTAGCTGATGGGATGTGGAGAGGAGGGAAAGAACTTGACAGCCAGCGGAGACAAGTGCTACAGGTGTGACAGGCAGCTTGCAGCTTGAGTCCTAATGACCTTGGGCCCAGGGATTTGTTTCTAATTAATAGAATATGAAAGTGATGGAGTGTCACTTTCATGATTCAGTTACAAGATTTTTCGATGTCTATTTTGTGTGCTCTCTCTCTCTCCGTCTCTGGTTCTCTAAGCCCCTCTGTGTCTCTCTCTGTCTCTTTTTCTGTCCCACTCACTGGCTCTCTGTTCCCCTTCTCTTTCTCACATTGGCTCTCCTGCTCTCTCCATCACTGCGTCCGTCTTTCCCCTCTCCATTGCCGCCATGCTGTGAGATGCTCTATAGAGACACACACACGGGAAGGAGCTGAGGGAATCCTTTGGCCAACAGCTTCCAAGGAAATGAGGCCTCATAAGGAACTGACTCCTGGCAGTAACCATGGGCATAAACAAGGAAGCAGACCCTTCCCAAGCCAGCCTGAGATGACTGTAGCCTGATAAGAAACCCAGAGACAGGGTGTCCAGATTCCTGACTCACAGAAACTGTGAGATAATATTGTTTCAAGACATTACGTTGTGAGGTAATTTGCTAACCAGCAACTGATCAATACATAACAATGAGAAATGCCAAATATATCTGAGGGAAAGAGTATTTCCTCTTCAGCTAATCCAAGAAATTTATAAAATTATATATACATATAATTATGAGGTTATATATATGCATATAAATATACTCATACATCAGTATATAGAAATATATATATAGATATATAGAGATAGATAGATATAGATATGTAATAAAGTAAATACATATATAAGCTTATATATAGATATCTATCTATCTATATATATGTTTCCATATATCTATATATAGATATAGATATATAGAAATATATATATAGATATACATATGTGTGTATGTGTGTATATATATAGTTTTATTCATGACTTACTGTCTTGGGTTGCTTTTTTTCATATGAACATGCCTGTATTCCTTAAAATTAATATTTATATACACACAGAGAGGTTAAGTAACTTGTTAAAGATCATGTAGCTAATGGGTGGTAGGACTGAGTGTAGAAAACTGGCATCCTGACTCTTAAATCACCCTTTTAATGTAATATTGAAAGGTAGACTATAAGCATAGTAGAACCAGTACCAATACAGAAGAATAATGCCACTACCACCACCAAATTACATGGTATGACTCGATTCCTTTTTTTGAAACAGCCATCACAGTCTGTGATGTTCACCAGCAATAGACCAGGACCTGCCATCTATGTTGCTTCCTGGAAAAGAATCTCAGGAAGAATCCAATGCCAGGTACCCAGTTCATCCCTCACTGGGTGGACGTAAGCCTTAAGTGAGGGATGCATGTGACCTGCTGAGCACAGAGTCAGGCACTGGGGAGAGCTTAGTAACTGGGGATGTTACCCTAAAGCACCAACCACCTGCTCAGCACCACGGATAGGGTTTCTCATGCCAAGGAATTGGTCCATTGGGGGAAGGGGGACAAATGGTTGTTTAGGGAATGTATTAAACTATAATGTACAATATGGAGGTTCCTCCAAAAACTTAAAATAGGACTACCATGTGATTCAGCAATTCCACTACTAGGCATATACCCAAAAGAAAGGGAATGTATATTAAAGAGATTATTACAGCACTATTTACAACAGGTATAATGTGGATTCAACCTAAGTGCCCATCAATGGACGATTGGATAAAGAAAATGTGGTATACATACACAATGGAATATTAGTCAGCCATAAAAGAGAATAAAATCCTGTCATTTGCAGCAGCATAGATGGAATTGGAGGCCATTATGTTAAGTGAAATAGTTCAAGCACAGAAAGACAAATATCACATATCCCACTCACTTGTGGGAAATGAAAAATGGATCTCATGAAGATAGAGAGTGAAATGATAGTTACCAGAGTTTGGGAAGGATAGGGAGGAACAAAGGGAAAAACGAAACAATATAAATGCATTTATTACTACAGAATTGAACACTTAAAAATGGTAAAGAACAATGAGCTCCGAGTAAAAAAATGGAGGTGAATGAGAGGAGATTGGACAGTTAGAAAGAAAGAGATGAGTGTGTCTGTGTGCAAGTGTAATATATAAATGATAAGAGCTAAAGGCAGAGAGGTTGTCAGGGACCACAGGATGAATGACTATGTGTCAACCTATGTTACTACATTTCAGCCTATAAACTCTGTTCTCACAGGCCAACAATCCAGGCTAAAAGCATTTTGAGGATGGGTTTATGTGGCTCTGTAACCGTTATAGCCATGTTGGAGCAAAGACTGTAATAATCACAGGATTCTGTGATTTTTTACACTCTTTACCAAAATACACTTAAGTAAAAGGACTCAATAGCACCTAGATCTATTCAGAGCTAGATTTAAGCAACATTGGAGATGAAAAGGTTGATTAGATATTCAAAATTTGAACATCTACCATTTTTCCAGCTCTAAAGATACCACAGTAAACAAAACTAATGAAAGTCTTGC